AATTGGCAGGTTTATTGGTAAAAAGCCCCCCCCCCCCAGCCATGGAAAAACATGCTAAAGCGACTAGCAAAAGAGTCAGATTTTTCCAAGGATATGCAATTTTTGTTTTGATATTCATGTAGAATGTATGCTTTGAACATATCTCCCAGTGGCTGAAGTTCTTTTTATGCCTTAATTGTAAATAGTGTTTTAAATGGAAAGTAAAATATAAATGAATCCGAATGTTTCCTTTTCCATAATCACTCATGGTGCTTTCTGTGCACTCCGTTTGTACATTTTCTCCATCTGAGTAGTTGTGAGTTGTATAGCTTTCTGAGAAGAAGCAGGTAAAAAATTATATTTAACTACTACAATCTTGGTTGGTTTTATCATGTATTTTAAGAGTTTGAAGATTTCTAGGGTAATGAAATAGTAATGAAAACAACTGTGTGATTGAAAGTTATTCTGATACCTAATTTTTAAAAGAGAGTGGGGTCCATTTTCTGTTCAATCATAAAATTTACTGGGTGACTTTGGGCCATTCCTCAGTCTGCCCTACCATCTCTCAGCCTACCCTACTCTAGGTTTAAATGTTTTAAATGGAAGGAGGTTTTAAACATAATCTGCTTTGAACTTCTTAAAGAAAAAAAAGTATGAATTATATGTGTGTGTGTTGGTTGGTGCCACAAATGCTCCTACGTGACTTGGTGGATCTCGACCAAACACACATACCCTTCATTGTCCAAATGAAACTAATTGAGGAAGTTAAACTAAACAAACTACACTGGCCCAGGGTTGATGGAAAGAAAAGGAACAAAGTGGATTGCCTGTTACTAGGTAAAGTGGCCCTCTCTCATGTGAGTGGGGAAGAAACCGAGTGAAGCAAACTGACTGCTACTAGGTGATGTGCATGTGAGGGGAAAGGAGGAAGGAAGGAAGGAAATAAAAGAGGAAAGGGTATGAGAGGAGGGAAAAAGGAAAGAAAGAAAAAGGCAGAGAAAAGAAAAGTGATGAAGGGAGGGAAGAAGGGAAGGGAAAGAAAGAAGAGTGGGGAAGGTTTTGAGGGAAAGCAAGGGAAGAAAGAGAAGGAAAGAAGAGAAGGAGAAGATGTATGAGGGAAATGGAAGAAGGAAAGAAAAAACCACAAAGAAAATGCACACCCAGACAGTAAATAAAAACATAAAAGCTAAAGAAGGTATCTTAAAGAAAAGGGACCGCATAACTCTTCCGCATAACCACTAGATGTCGCAAGTATTACAGGAGCCTGAGAGGTTACTAAGGGCCTGGTGGAAATTCGACATATCATTGAACTTCACATATTTCAGTGTTTCCACATGGTAAATGCCAGAAGAATCTGATACAGTGTGATATAGAAGCAAGGTACAACTGGAATAATGAAATTTCAAAAAATAAGCCGTTTTAAAGGGCTGGTTCTAACAGTTCTGTTGGGCATTGTAAATGCCTCAGGTGCACTTGATACTCCTTTTACGTTCCTGGCGTTTGGTTGTGTTTTTATGGAAAGATGGATTGAACTTCAATTTAAGAATATTCGGTAATCCCTCTCAGGACAGACTCTAACAGCTGGTATTTCTGTGTTGCAGCAAATCGATTCCATGCAACAGCCACCGGTGCTTATAGCTGGATTCTGATGTGAAATTACAAAGCATTTTAAAACAAATTTAGCCAAAGCAAACATCGCTGAAAAAAAGTAACTTAATTTACAGGTTTGTGGGAGAAGACTCTTGTTCCAAAAAAATATTAAGCTTTTATTAGGAAAGATTTCATCAGGTCATTTATTTTCACTAATATATACATAGAGATTCTGGAGGGAATAAGTTCATACCACACAACTCTTTAAAATAAGAGGTTTTGAAAGTTAATATTGAAGAATTTAACCACAATAAAGAAAATGAGGAATGGTCTCCACAGTTGTTAATATCCAACATTTTCTTGATGAATAAGCCTTTGCGCTTTAATCTTAAATAACTGTGATCTTAATTACTAGCTTTGGAATACAAATGTTCACTATGGATAATAGGCATTGGAATTTGGAATTAAAGTTCTATGGTTCACAACTAAGAAAATAGCTGATGATCACAAGAGAAAAAAAGCTGGTTGGCTGCAATAACTGATTCTGATTCTGCATCGACCAGCATGGCTAAGTGTCCAAGTTCTAAAATTTATTTCCTGGCCTTGACATGTAGATGTTACATTTGCATCAGGTCAAACAGAATTGATGTTTTATGAAACTTGTACAGTGTGTCCTCGGCCTCATTTCAAGTTACTTCTTTAAAAATCTGCTGGCTTGTATTTAGGTGCTGCCTTTCTTCATTTCAAGAAGGGGTTATGCATAACAAACATCTAATAGTGCCACAGTCCATGGCAAAATTCAATGCATACAGGCCCAATCACAAAGTTGGACTGAGCTCTGTCCAATATTCATCATTCAAATTCTTCAAAAGCTCTCCTTCCTTTTAAATGAGATGCTGAACTATATAGGTAGCCCCTTTTCATAGATTGCTTGATGGTGTGCCTAACCTGGTAAAGGGTCTTGGCTCTTCCACTGTCTCTCTGTGCCCAATTCAAAATCACACAAAGAAGATGGCAAATCAGTTCAGTTCAGAACATGTCTCAAAGGTACAATCCAGATATTATGAAGAACACAGTACTGTACTGACATATGACTCCTAGTTATAAGTGGGTTAGACAAAAGGAAGTGAAAGGAAGTCTACACCTTGGAAGGAAAATTCACTCCTGTAAGAGTTATAATGGAAAAAGGTGCCTCCACAGAAGCTTTATCACCAATCCTTGTTCCCACAACAATATAAAAATTTCAAAATCCAATTGTCACAAGGGCGGAAAGTGAGGTGAAATCTTCTGAAGAGGGGCACATATAGCAAAACAAATGTTACAGGGATTTTAACCCTTCCTTATGCTTTTGAGAACTATATTTTTCCCTTTGGCTGGAGTTACACTTAAAAATGTATCTTATATACAAATTCAGCTTAAGAAAAAAATGTGCAGAATCTATTTTGTTTGTAATCTGGGACTGTATGTATTTCACCTAAGATGTACACTAGTTTCAACGCCACCAACAAATCTCTCTCTCTCTCTCTTTCCCCCCCCCCCCCCCATATAATATTTTTAGAGATGTTTATATGGTGAAAAAGAATTGAGGGAATACAGTAATGTCCTGACAAACTGCAATAAAGTAGTGATTTGACTAGTGATCTCTATTGCTAAAATGGAAGTAACATCAGAATTGGAGCGCCTGAGGAAATTGGTTTTAACAGCTTCTTATCAAGGATTTGCCATTGAGTTTTTATGGAGAAACTAATATATAATCTTAAAGTGAAAAAGCAAACCAGAAGGTTTCCTTTCATTATACAGAACCATCCATGCTGCACTCATCCTGCCCCCAGCAGACAGGGTACATCTCGAGTAAGATATTTTCTAGCCAGGATATTTGTTGAATTTTGTGGTTTTCAGACTTTTGAAGTTGTTCAGTTGGACTGAAACACAACTGAAATATGCAATCTACTCGTATAAGAAAAAGATACTGAGTAGATTGTCTAAATATTTTTAGGATGTATTTGTTTTAACAATAATAATCTTTAAAACTACAAATGTAACAGTTAAACACGTTACATTATGACCTATAAACCAGTTTTTATATGTTCTATCCATTTCAGGATCATTAGAAAAGTCGGAACAGTTGCTGAAGCTAATTATTTTGGAAAGGCTGAAACTATTCACTGGGAGATATTTGAGAATAAGACACAGAACAGAATCCACATGGCTCAGAAGTGGTTTGTTCTTTTCAAAGAGTATGAGAACAGGATGAGAGTATGTCATGACTCTTAGGCCATTGTTAGGAGTGACATAATACAAAAAGGGTCTAGTCATATTTTGTAAAGTGTGGGTTTTGTATGTCTTCTTGATTTTTGATTCCATCTTATGTAAGCGAGCATAGTCCTGGATTGAACTTTTGTCTTATAACGTTTCAACTTAAAAAGAGCCAATAAACCAATAACATGTCTTTTAAAAATAGTTGTAATAACTTAAAATCTCAACAGCTTCACGCTTGCATCTTTGTGTTACTATTTATGACATAATGGAAGAAGTATTATGTTCCTATAGGCTAGGGGTGAAAAACGTTATAATAGAAAACGTCATTGGTAAAAGAGAACTCAGACTATAAAACAATCCTCTTCCCTTGTCTTCTTAACTCTGCACTTTCTGCTCTTAAGTTATTTTCAGATAGACATCTGGTAGCATTCCCAATCAAAAGGCATTACACAGCTGCTCTATGTTTGTCATCCTTATAAATTTTATTTTGTATGATGCTGAAATTGAGGAAGAACACAGAGAGGTTTACAAATGGAAGGCAGAATCACGTGGACCCCATTGGAATTCTGTGAATAGCTATGGAATCTTATTTATTCCCAATTGACTTCATCCTAAGGTTTATTGACTGAAATAAAGGCTATTGACTGACTGACTGACTGACTGAATAACTATGGAATAACCTTTGGATACTATGAAATTTTAAAAATCTATCTGAAAGCTCTCTGTTACAAATATAAGAGCCAGGATACAAAGAAATACAAAACGTTTGGGTCTAAGGGACTTCCAGATTCATTTTTTCTTGAACAGTCTCTTATCCTTTATGGTAGTCTGCTTTCAATGCAACATAGACTTGAAAATAATTTGTTAATGCTGGGGGTTCAAATGTTGGTGGTTCAGTCAGAATTTTCAGTGGTTAGTATAGATCCCTTCCATGCATGTAAGGCTTTTGTATCAGACATCTGATTGGCTGTATTCTACAAATGTTTTCTTGAATATAAATGGGATTAAAAGCAATTATGAATAAAACATTTTAGAGATTCTAAAATAGCAGCTTCTGTTAACAAAGTAAGTGGCAATCTATTTCAAGTTTTTACACTACGTTTTAATGACAAATAATCATAACTTAAAATGTTAATAATTTTCCTTCTTTGTGTATATTTCTATTCTTTCAGGACAGCTTCGAAATTGCCTAAATCTTTATAGAGAAAGTGGCTGCAAGTAATTGAACTGACATTCACTATCAACTTCTGAGCGAAGTGCTGTTCTAGTGTGTATCCTTCTTGTAGTCAGCATGCCAGCTTTATCAACTGGATCTGGAGGTGACACAGGTAGATGAACCTGGTGTTGCTGATTTTCTCAATGCGAGTGTATATTGACTGTGCACATTGTCCCAAGACTACCTACACCGAAGAAAAATGTGTAGATTGGCATGTAGATGTGACTGCAGAAGATGGATGTGGGTTGTACAGGCAGTCCCCAAGTTACCAACATTTGACTTAAACAACTCATAGTTAAAAATGGGGATGAGACAACAAAAAGTGAGAGAATTTAACCCCTAGGAAAGGAAATTCACTCTTGGAAGAGTTATCATGAGGAAACTGTCTCTACTGAAGCTTTCTCCCCAATCCTTTTTTCTACACCAAGCCAAATTTTTCAAAATCCAAATATCACAGGGACAGAAAGTGACATCTTCTGAATGGGGCACAAACAGCAAGCTTTATTAACACCACAGAGGTTTTAACTCTTTCCTATGCTATCCAAAGCTAAAAGATGTATATGTTTGGCTGGAGTTACACTTTCAAAATGTCCCTGTTCTGACTTACATAAAATTCAACTTAAAAACAAACCTACAGAACCTATCTTGTTCATAATTTGGGAACTGCCTGTACATTGAAACACTTCACATTGTAAAAATATGTATGCAGGTAGATGGCGCCTGTAGTTTGACATGAATGTCATTGCATATCAAAATTACATTCCTAATTACATTTCCTAATTCTATAAATGAGAAGCAGGAGCAGAATGCTGAGTGCATTTTAAAAAGTTAAGAGTACTAAATTTTGTTGGTTTAATTTAAAGTAAAGCATTGTAATTTTTAGTTTACAGTTAATGAATATGTACTGGCTGAGTATTCCTTATCTGAAATGTTTGCAATTAGAAGTGTTTTGGATTGTGGATTTTCTTCAGATTTTGGCATACCTGTATTTTCATATCTTGGAGAAGGGACCCAAGCCTGAATATGACATTCATTTATGTTTCATATGCACTTTATACATATAACTGGAAAGTAACTTTATAAAATATTTTAATAATTTTGTGCTAACACAAAGCATATATCCATTGAATCATGAGAAAGCAAAAGTGTCACTATCCCAGACACCTATATGAACCATTTTGGATTTTGGAAAATTTCAGATTTTGGAATTGTGGATAAGGGATCCTGAACCTGTACTGTTGGATGTCATCATGCACTACCTCATACAAACAATATTGTATCTTAAATACAACTATATTTTGAGAGTTGGGGTAAATACGTTGTTTACATCCAATGAATTCTAATGTACTTTGCAACTTAATATGCATGTACCTGTCTTTATCATTGATCCTGCTGGCAAACAATTTAACATACTTAAAATTGTGTCAATTTTAAGTAAGCAGTTTCTTAAAATTGGATGCTGGGGGTCAGGTCAACAGCACCAGAAAGGCCACATTATTAATCTTTGTCACTGAAGAAACTGAAGTATTTGCTTGGTATCGAGCTGTGTTACCATTCTATGGGAATTGAAATTGGAATTTTTGCAGATTCTTATTCAAAATGTATAGAATCCACATCTTCTTGGATCTTCTGTAAATAATTTTCAAAATGGTTTTTATACCTGATCTTGTTAGACTTACTTATTGAATCCAACCCAGATTTCCTGAATACATGACAAAAAGAAAGGTTTTTTTTTCCAGTGCAGCAATCCCAAATTCACTATACATTCTATGTACTTTATTTCTGTTTAATTTGATCTTAAACTAGAAGAGCTTGAAGGCAGGTTGTGAATTTGAGGGAAGAGTGTTTGTCTTTATATGAAGTCTATTCCACTATTTTTAAAAAGCTACTTACTGGCTTACAAATTTTGACCAGGCAGACACAAGTAGGATCTGAAAAACAGTGAGAAACAGTATATGGAATGCCATGAACATTCATGTCTAAAGCACTGGACAGTTTTTAGAGTTGCATTGGCATTACTATTAAAGATAATTTCTGGTGCTTTAATAATAATAATAAAAATAATAATAATATTTTTAAAAAATCTTACCTGCCTCTCCTTGTGGATTGAGGCGGGTTACAATATAGTTAACACATAATCATTATATAAAATACACATATTAAAATTTATTTCTACAAAATACATATATTAGAATACATAGAACATATCTAATACTGCTTTTACTATTACTTGTAGTGTGTATATACCTTAATCCCAATTACATTTACAAATGTCTATGTCTAAAATGTCCTATGCAGCAACCCAAATGCCAGTGTGAGTGGTTATCCTTTGGAACAATTAATACCAACGTATATTGTATTGTGGGATAGAGTAGCATTGTAGAGTAGTCAAAATAAGAATGTCGGTAGTTTTGTTACTATACATTTAACTTCGTGTAATAATCTCACCCTTTTATAGAATTGTTAAATATACTGATTTTATGTAATTTTGTAGTTGTGAAAAATGTAAGCCTGTTAGAAATAGTAATGAAAAGTACTGCTTGTTTGACTATTGTCAAAGCTTAAAAGATTCGTGTGTTCTGTTTTATTAATACAGTAAAAATTTACAGTGTTGTTCTGGGCTTAGGTATATGCTCCTTAGTGTTTATTACCCCTTAGTTACAGTAAAAATTTCAAGTCTTAGCTTGGCATTGTGATTCAGAATTTTGAGGTAATAAATTGTTTAAGAAATGAAAAGTAAATGAACATCCATTTGTTATAATATTGATTCAAAATCTCTCTGACATGATTAGCACTTTCTTGTAATATGTAAGAGTGATGGAACGCAGGGACCATGTTTTTTATCATTTAGCCCTCCTTTATAGCTTCCACAGACTTGTTCTAATAATGAAGCTATGAGGGATATGACAAGAATGGTGATATTAAATTTCTCTAGACTAACAGTAAATTTTTCCACTCTGATGTCAAGAATGTTGAGCATCTGGACTCTGAGTGGTTTACCACGTGAGCACTTTCCCCAATTTCTTAGCCATTTATTCTTCTCTTAGGAACTAGCTGTCTTGCGTACAAAATAATAGTAACGGAAACTGTTCTCTAGAACTGGAAAAAGTTGTGTGCTTTTCATTTTCCATTATTTGTAAGAATTATTTTATTACCTTTTTGCAAGTCTTAAAAAAATAAAATTACTGTTATGACAGTGTGTTCATTTATTCAATAAGATTAATAAAGTCCAGGAAAACAGTATCGCGGAAGTACTGTAGACAATGTTTACAAGTCCATGCCCCAGTAATTGATACCAGCATTTTTTGTTCTCTGGGGCCTCCTCTAAGGCAGTTTACCTTGTTAAGTTATTTCCATGAACAACCTACAGTTCTGTCATCTTGCAGCCATTCATTCCATCCCCTTTTCAGAAACATTATGAAAGCCATTGGATCAGGTACAATTAGGAATGTTGGAATAATCTAAGCTTCAGTTCCAAAGAAGTCGGATTTTCAGTAACAGGAACAATTGTTTAAATGATTATAGCTCTACACTGTTACTGAGTTTAGCATCATGACCAAAGTGATGAATTAATAAAAATATTAATTAAAAGACCAGACCAATACTTTTTCATTAACACAGGTCCTCCATCTGTGAGGGATGGTCTCTCAATGTGTGTGTGTCATGCATGCATGTTCATTAAAAAGTGCTAGAAAGCTTTTGTGTCCCACCATTGGGAATCATATATCGGGTAAAGACATGATAACAGAACTTCTTGCAGTTGCTGCTGATAGCAACATGGACTTTATTTTGATACCAAATTAAAACTTGACTGTTCACTTAAATATTTGGGGCTTAGTGAAATCGCAGCTCATTTTCTGTCCACTGGATTGTGGGTTTTATGTAACTTTATTTGCATTTAATGAAAACTTTGTACAAACATCTTTCAGTTAGCCTCATAGATCTATGTATAATGACAAAGACCAATGGTTATACCTTTAAATTGTCTTTCAGATTATTCTAATGTTGTTCTAAAGTTTACACCCTGCCTTGAGATCTTCTAATATAAAGCTTGAAATAATTTAACTAATGCATAAACATTTGCTAGGTTACCTATGTGTTAGTGCAAAGACCTTTGATGTAAAGCACTCAGTTTTCCCCAAGGTGTGGAAACTGGAAGCTCTGTCTGGAGTCAAAGTTGCATGTTAGAATTGGTCCGTCCAGGAATGTTTCCTTTGCAAATATTCTTGCTATACACTTAACCAGCTGTGTCAACTTGTAGTTTGAGATGTATGTATATGTACCGTATGCTGTTGAAGTCATGCTCTGACTGGAAAAGTATAATCTTTATCATGTACAACTACTGTATTAACCTTGTACAAAATTATTATGGTGGTAAGACTATTGCTGAAAAATATAGTTAATCTTAAGTTACAGCCAATGACTTTTCATTACCTGTTTTGGTTAACTTGGGAAAATAAATAATCATGTCTAGACTTAATGTTGGATGTCTTTTGTTATCAGATGTGCTTGAAAGCCTTGTCTGCTTTTTAACAGAATATGTGTGGAAGCATGGCACCTTAGAATCATAGAGTTGGAAGAGACCCCAAGGACCATCTAGTCCATTCTCATTCTGCCATATAGAAATATATAATCATAGCCCTCCTTACAGATAGCCATCTTCTGTTTAAAAACCCCCAGAGAAGGAGACACCATCACACACCAAGGCAGAACATTCCACTATCTAACAGCTCTAACTAATGAGGAAGTTCTTAATGTTTAAGTGGAGACTTTCTTCAAATTTGAGCACTAACACATCCAGTAAAATGGAAGTAGAAAACCATTGAAAAACTAATAAGCCTAGATGAAAGCTGCTGCTTCATAATAATGTAAAATAGAGATTATTTTATTACAAGTCTTTATTTGTAAATAGTGATCTTTTTGGGTGTGCTTTCTTCTGGTCTAGCTTTCTTTGCCTTGTAACATTTTGTTTAGGGTAAGCTTTGCATTTATATCCACTGGTTTTAAGTGCTTTTTTGCAATTCTTTGATTGCATAATTTTTTTTGATTGTCTAAGCAAAGAGGGCACTAATTCTGACATCTATTGGTGAGTCGTAGCCTAGTCTAATAAACCCAGAATAGTAGCTGGATAAAGCAGGGAACTTTCTGTTCTCCTAGAAGTTTTCCTCATGTTTCTAGTGGTTTTGGAGGAGGTATCAATTCCTAGAAAACTTAAGTGCCACTGATCAATAGATGCTGAGCTATTTCCGAGAAAGGACAGTATGTATGCAAAGCTCTGAAAATATACCTCTGCCTTGACTCCATAAAGCAGAGCAGCTTAGGTTTTAGCCTAATGAGTGCTAAGGACTTTTTCTCCATTTGGTTTCATTGTTCTGGGGAGATTCATTTCTACATTGCAGTTGAAGGTGGGTGGCATCAAAGGTATAAAATCATCTATGTAGCAAGCTCTCCAGACTCCATTGCTGTAAGGAAATAGTTCTACTTTTCCTAATTAGAGGCAGTTATATAAGTACAAGGTTTTAAAATGTTCCATCCCCATTTTAGCAGTATTTTTTATTTTATATAAAGAGAGGGGGGGGGGAAGGAAATGTGAAATTACTGCAAGTGTTTAATTTTTATAGTTAAATCCTATTTATAAAATGGGATGGAAGTTGGTAGGTTTGATGTGATTTGGTCAGTACCCTTTAAAATATAATTTCCAGTCGTTGCTTTCGTTCAGCATTTGCTGCATGAAATAGAAAGTGGATGTTCAATTGTCTGCTTGGTACAAATGTGGCTCCATCTAGTGTTGATGAATGCACAGGCAGCAGTCCAACACAGGATGCTGTATATGCATTAATATATATATTTATATTATTTGTTTGATTCTGTCAATCTGTGTCCTGAACCAAGAATTGACAGTTGAACTTGTGATTTGTCAGTGCATGTGGCAATAGTAGGTGTAGTTCCTGTTCAGTGATTTTTTTTTACACCCTGGAAAGATACTAGTGATTTGCATATTCTACTGTTTTCCTCCTCACTCCAATAGCAGTAACAACAGTAGGTTTAAATAGAGCAAAGTTTGTAATATGAACATTACCTCCCAAGAGTCCATCAAAAATGATGTCTGGAAAAAGTGTTTTTTCTCTAGCATACTTTAGTAAGTAACGCCAGGAAAGAAATAGAAACACATTACTATTTTCCCCAAATGTGCTGTATTTAATTTTAGACAAGGAAACTGATTACTACAAAGTTTATGCAACAGTTAAATATGGAAGTGATGGGCTATAAGGAAATGGTAGTCACAGTACTAGATTGTCAGGTAGCTTGAGAGAATGCTGTTTAATAGGGAAATCTTTCTTTTGCAAGTGTATTCTTGTGATGAACAATGCTTGGTCTGGTCGTAAATATTCTTAGACAGAAAAGAGTTGTGTTCATTCAGTGGAGCTTATTTCCTAATAAATATGTTCAGGTTTGTAGCAGTGAAACAAAAATAATAGTTGGGTCACATGTAGGCCAGGAGGTTATCAGTGCTTGCTGCCCTGTCCCATGCCAGAGAGATTTTTCTCTGCTTCACCCTCCAAAATACCCCACTGGAAAAACTAAGCATATGCTCTGAGCTGATATGTGCTTATGCCAAGCACCTCCCTAGGGAAGGCTGCTGGAAGTCATGTTGCTATGTTTCTTGGACAGCAGTATGATGGATAGTTTTATGCTGTATGCTACTGTGAAAACAGTGTGCTACTGTTTGCCCTGGGAAACTGCTGTGATATCTGCCACAAATAACTGGGACCAGCCATTGCTTTAATCCCGTAGAGAAGGTTAATCTTAAAGTGTGCATACTTTCTAACAATGTAACTTAAGCATGTAAGGATTTTGCTCAAGAGTTGATTGCTGAACAGCTAGCAATACATTTTATTCTTCAGAGCATCTATTAAATCCAAGATATTTTACAAAAGCAATGTGTTGGTGAGAAATATTTAGAGAAACCGCAAACTCTTTTTAATGGACCACCCTATCCATTTTCTGTTCTTATAAGGATATTTTTCCGATTCATGACTCATTTCATTCTAACATCAAGGGAAATGGAATAATGATTAAGCAAAGGAATGTATGTGTTTCTGGGTTTTGTCCCTTTCCAGAAAGCTTTATGAATTCTTGGTGCCGTGTTAAGTAAATAAATTGCTATAGAAGCTTTAGCAACTGTTAATAAAGTAAAAACTACACTGCTAGTAACTGCTCCTTTTAAAAAGTCAGAATTTTTTCTTGCTTTTTAAATGTTTTGTTGGCTACTTCCATGCTCACTATTGCTTAATATAAAAATGGTGCATGCTGCAAGTTACACAGGAGGGCTCAGTGAAATTAATGAGATCACCCTTAACTTTCACTTTGTGTTTTATTTTCACTTTATAGGTTTGTATGAGCTGTTGGCTTCCTTGCCAGCCCAGCTGCAGCCACATGTGGACAGCCAGGAAGACCTGACCTTCCTCTGGGATATGTTTGGAGAAAAAAGCCTTCATTCGTTGGTAAAGGTAAACCACACTTAAATGCTCATTCTTTTGGAGAAACACTTATGGAAAAAACATCTTGAGCAGTCTCTAGTAAACCAAGAATCAGACCAAGTTACACAGTGAAAACAAAATAGCCTTGTTTCAACTCCGTGCTTCTGTGAGGAATGGAAGTTGTTAAAGGATTCTACCAAAAATACAGAGATGATTTCATTTAATAGTGATGTTTTGGCAGTATACACTAATGTAACAAACATATGATGTTTGCCCTTGTTTAGAATGAGGTAGCACGAAATAGTAGCAGGAAATATGAGACTCCTTCATGGTCAACATTCAAGGCCTGGAGTTTAGCTTAAATAAACAAATGTTCACAGCAAAAATTAGACGGGATATATTTTTGAGGTAAAATATGGCAGCAGTTCAGTACCCACATTAATTTAAAATAATTTCCTTTAACAAAGTCAACTGAAATTCTATCAAGACTCTTTAATTGGCTTGCATCCATTGAAATTGCATTCGGTGTATAAATACATTGAAGTTGATCATGAATTGAATAAATTTGGTAGAATGATCAGTGGATGTGTCCAGTCAAAAATGGTAAACACTGAGGTATTTTATACTCTCCTATTTATAGAAAATGCTTTATGACTTGTTTATAATTATTATTGTTCCTTTAGAGCTATGATTTCATTGGTTGAGATGAAAGTAAGGCACATCCCGTCTTTAGAATTTATAGAGAAAATACACTGACTTTCCATGTCAGGAGGAAAAGCTTTTCACTCTTAGAGGAAGGAGCTGGAGGGGCAACAGGATTTTCATTGTGTCCTGTGGCAATCCGTTACACCATGGATACACAACTATAGTGATCAAGATGGGTTTTGAAGGGCATTTAACTTATAATAACATTACATGGCATAGTCAGTAGTGAAGGATTATAGGGTTTACAGCCCTTAAGCAACTTTAGGATAGCAATTCTCCATCCCTGTCTTCAACATGTGTGATTGTATCCCTATCAGAACTGTACAGTCATTTAAAGCATCCAAACCATATGCTTTAGGTGATGTTAACTTATGAATCTTTATTCAGATTTGCAGTCTTAGAGAGCTTCTGGATATGTGGCTGCTTTAGGGAATTTGAATTATGGAAATGTCTAGTCTTTTTTCTAACTGCATCTGATTGGATACAGTTCTGTTCAGTGGGATAAGCCAGCATTAAGTGCTCACCATCAGAGGCTATATAACATTTGTAATGAGAGGTTGGCCCAGAAGCTAGTTGGAAACACGGGCTTCCATGAAATGTGGTGGTGAGTCACTTTAACCAAGAGCACATTACATCAGTGCTGAAAGAAATGGACTAGAATGAAGGCCAATAAAGTGAAGCTCAGTTCAGACAAGACCAGAGATGGATGGCAGGCAACTTGATCTGCTATTCAGACTGATTTAAATGGATTTCTACTTTTTTGTTTTTATTTTTTATCGTGTCAAAAGCGACTTGAGAAACTACAAGTTGCTTCAGGTGTGAGAGAATTGGCTGTCTGCCCAGGGGATGCCAGGAGGTGTTACCATCCCGTGGGATGCTTCTTTCATATCCCCGCATGGGAGGCTGGAGCTGACAGACAGGAGCTCACCCTGTCTTGCAGATTCAAACCACTGACCATCAGGTCAGCAATTCAGCCGGCACAAGGGTTTAACCCATTGCGCCACTGCAGCTCCTGCCTATTTTTGTTAAATAGGGCATAATGAAGTAATATTTTAAAAGTAATGTAGTAAGTAAGAACAAAGCTACTTTATTTGTTTATTAGTAATAAACTTCTAATTACTTTATAAAGTTTAAAAATATTAATAATTTGAATGGCATGTTAGGAATTATTAAAGTGTATTTGACATAAAAATTGTTCAAGTTTTATGCCACTGTTTTATTAACCTCAATTTTTAAATAAGTTATGTCTAAAATATTTGCAAATATAATTTAGTAAGTTACTTTTCTGACATTGTAATGTAAAATAACAGTAAAATAATTCAAAGCAAGCCATTGTGGATTATTAACTTTTGTTGTTACTTCGTGTGCACGTGTAGCTTCACAATTCTACAATTTCACAATTCTACAATTTACCAGACTGTCTTGATTTCTAATCCTAGCACAAGAATTCTGCCAATAACAAAATAACGAAGTGTGCTTCTGCTTTCAGTAGATAACTTGCATGAAGTTGTGTGTGTGTGTGTGTGTATGTGTGTATATATATATATATATATATATATATATATATACACACACACACACACACACACACATATATATATGTGTGTGAAACCTTTATGTCTCTAGTTCAGGTAGCAGCTACATCAGAAAGTAATTTGTATTTATCTTGTATCCTAAGTTAATTTCAGCTTTTGTCTTCATGGAATTAGATAGCAATCCTGGAAAGATAAGCACATCAGAAAATGAAGCCATGTTTGATAGGAGTGGCCTATTTGACTGTTGATGTAGGATAAAGGTTTTGCAGTTACGTGTGTGATTTTTAAAAAATCAGCATTGTTTGATTGGCTTTTATTGTGGGTTTTCCCCCTTAATGTTTTAATTTTAGGCCTGGTAGTTGCGCTTGAGGCACGACAAAAGAAGTACTGTGATTACCTTTCATGTTGAGTGGAAAATAACATAGTCTGTGTCAGTAAAATTGCAAGGCATAATACTATACAGTTTGGCCCATGGGGATACATTCAGAGACCACCCCACCCCCCACCCCCCACCCCATGGATAGCTGAAACCACAGATAATAGCAAACTATTTTTGACTATACACAGGTCTAAAGAATAGCACTGAAGAACCTAGAGAACCCAACACACTTTGTGTGTGTGGGGGGGTATTTTTGGAATGCAGATAAGTGAAACTGTGGGTATAGAGTCTGGGGATAAGAGTTCATACTGTTTGCCTTGTTCTGGATTCCTGGAGAACAGAGAAAGTCCATTTTGTGAAAGGTTATTTTCAGTGGTTCTAACATTTTCTCACCTGTTTTTCTCATTATCTGTAAGCCTGGCAGTACTGATCTTCATAAATACTACATCTACTCTCTCTAGTTTCTATTTTTTTTCTTTTTCTTTTTGTGCCTGTGTACCACACACTATCTTTAGCTTTCAGACTTACTCATTTGAGGGTGTGTGTGAGTTAGAAGCATGTGGTTTTCATGTTTATGTTTTCTGAATTTATAGCTGACATACTTGTTAACAAAATTTCTGAAACACTGTGTTTTAAAATAACTATCTTGAAAGCTTTTTAAAAACATGTTTGCTGTGCAGATGGCATGATGTCATACAAATTGTCTTCAGCAAGAAATCTCAATCAGTTGCCAACTGTGTTACCACTTAAGATATTTGTATTAAACATGTGGTGCCTATTCTTAGTTAAACATCTTAACAGGCGACTCATGGACTGAAAATTATAAAGCTGTGTATTGCATTCCTGTATTTTACTTACACAGGCAAACAGTCTCTGTGTGGCTGAATTTAGAAAGCTTTTACTTGATGGTCTGATTTCTCTAAATCTTCGTAAGATAATAAGAGTAGTGAGAGATGATGATGTACCTGTAATTATAATTTCTGCTTATTTTCCATACAATAGGCATATCTACTTCAGTCTGGATCATGCTTTCTATCAATCCAAACAAAATAGGATGGCAAGATTGTTGTCGAGCACAATAGCCCCTCCCCAAAGATTTATAGTTCACCAAGGGCTCAGAAATAAATACTGTATTTACTTGAATCTAATGCTCACCTTCCCAGAATTAGGGTGCATGTAATATTCACATAATACGAACCCACACGATCTCTTCGATCATCTGGAGAGGCCCTGCTCGCGCTCCCACCACCATCACAAGCGCGATTGGTGGGGATGAGGAAGAGAGCCTTCTCGGTGGTGGCCCCTTGACTCTGGAACTCACTCCCCAAGGACATTAGGCATGCCCCCAACTCTGGCAGTCTTTAGGAGGAGCCTGAAAACGTGGTTGATTTAGTGTGCCTTCCCAGAATAAGGAAACTCCCACCAATATGTCCCTAAACGCATTTTACTAGTGATCTAGGTTTGTCTGCACATTTCATCCCTCTCCAAAACTTCTATCCCAGTTATATGTCACCTTGTCATGCCCAGCATTATTTTTTAAAAAAAATTAATTATTACATTTGGCCCAGCCATAGGTTTTTAAACGCATCGTGTTATTATTAATGTTTATTGCTTATTTTCTGCTTATGAGTTTATTTATTGTTTTGTATTACTGTTGCTATTGTTTATTGTTGTATTGTGGGCTCAGCCTCATGTAACCAGCACCGAGTCCCTTGGGGAGATGGTAGCGGGGTACAAATAAAGTTTTATTATTATTATTATTATTATTATTATTATTATTATTATATGGTACTTTTTTGAGTTTCAGGGTTTTGAAAATTGAGGTGTGCATTACATTCAATGGCGCATTAGACTCTAGTAAATATGGGTGTATGATTTTTTTTCCTTTATAAAACAACCCAAACAATTTCAAAACATCAGAAGTTAAAGACCAAACCAGCAACCGCTATCATATCTAACACTTTAATAAATTGTATCTGTTCTTCATGACCTATATAATTTTCTCTTTTTTTATACTGTCTCTATTACATACAGTATTTTATAATTCTGTTTTATAAAATATATCAAGACAGCCAACTCTTCATGACCCTGCAGAATAATCCCCTGGGAGCATAAAGGCTAAAAAAAACCCCTCTGTGGATCTATTCCCAAACCCATTGTTCATGTGTATGCAGAGATAGGTGATTTTCTTTTAAAGCTGAGAGATTGCTGCCTACAAGAAAAGGGCTTATAATGTGTATGTGTTAAACCTCCTTGTGGTCAACCAAGCCAAACAGCATCTCTATCTTACATCTTTGTTTTCTGAATCTCCCATCTTTGTTTGGCACGGGACTGGGCATTTCAGCCCATCAACATATCTTTGCTCTTTGTTTCTCAGGCTGTGCCCTCCCGGGGGGGGGGGGTGGCTTTTC